AAATCTGACTCTCGCTTTTGTTCTTTGCCAAGTTGCTTTCGAAGCCAGGGCAATTAGATCGCCCAGGGGTTTTCTTTCTATTTTTGTAACAATTGCTTGGCATGAGGAAGACAATTTAGATAAGGTATTTTGGGGGGGGGGGAATTCCACCCATTTATATTCCTTAAACAACTTCGTTTCTTTCTCCCGTTTCTTTTCATTTCCTGTCTCACAAGTTGTGACATTTCCCTTAACACAGTGGTTCTCAACCTTCCTAATGCCGCGACCCTTTAATACAGTTCCTCATGTTGTGGTGACCCCCAACCATAAAATTATTCCAGGGTCATGTGATCACCTTTTGCAACCTTTGCAAGCAGTTAGTGGGGAAACCAGATGTACTGAACAACTATGTTACTAATTTAATCTCTCTCCCTCTTTCTTTCTCTCTCCCTCTCTCCCTCACTTTCTCTTTCCCTCTTTCCCTTTCTCCATCCGTCTCTTTCTCTCCCTCTTTCTCTCTCCGTCTCCCTTTCTTTCTCTCTCCCTCTCTTTCCCTCTTTCTCTCCCTCTTTCTATTTCTCTCTCCCTCTCAAAGTTCCTTAAAATCCTTAAAAGTTATGCTTGGGTGGAAGACTTTTTCTTTTACAGATGGGGCGGGTGGGCCTGACATTCACGGGCAGGCAGGATCCCGCCTGCCGAGCCGCCGCCTCCCCATCGCCCTCCACGCCAGCCGGCTCCCTTGCCAGACCTCCCAGCTGACATGTGCAAGTTTGGGGGTCGCCAGCTGACGGGCGCAGAGTTAAGCGCTGCAGCGGTCTCCCCTTCGCCTTCCTCACCGGCCAAAGCGTTGCCGGACGTTCCAGTTGATGGGCACAGGTCCGGGGGTAGCCAGCTGATGGGCGCAGGAGGTCGGTGCCGTGGCAGCCTCCAAGCCGCCTGCTTCTTAGGCTGGAGCAGTTGCCAGGGCTTGCATGGTTGCCAGCAGCGGGGAGCGAGTCAGCGGCCATTGGGGACCATACCAGCGGTCCTGTGCCATTGAGGCTTGAGGCACGGAGGCGCGGGACACGGAGCGGCGCGGTGCCATGGGAGGCAGCAGGACAGGGGGGAGGGGTTACCTACATCCTGCCAGCCAAACTCTGGAAGCCTGCCTGAATGAAGAATTTTAGGGGGTGTTGAAAGGGAGACAGACTGAGGACTGTATTAAGACTATAGATGACTGCGTAAGGAGAGCGGAAGGGAGGCGAATTTGGGGTGGAGCAGAAAACACGGGGGAAGGCGTTAGGAAATAAGCACCAAGGTACATGGTTCCTTGCAAGGGATTCCCGAGTGTTCCGTAATTGTTTTTCCTCTCTCCTCTGTGCGAGAAAAACTTTTGTGGTGTAAATCTGAAACCAGGTGTTCCTTTGAGGTAGCACAGGAGATCCTTGGGAAAGGCGAGTAGAAGCTTGGCGTTTCCTCTCTCCCAATCTCCTTCCTCTTCTTCACCCCCTTCCCCGGCCTGCCTGCGATCTGAGCTCGCGGCTCCGTGGCTTTTCTTTGCTTAGCTTAGCCAAGCTTTCTTCCGCCTGCCCCGTTCCCGGGAGCACTGAGGAGGTATGGCAGAAACACATGAATTGGGATTGTGGCGCCCTTGGGAAGCTGATCATGCTTTGAACTTTAGGAGAGGAGGAGTCCCTTCCTCCTTTCCTCCCTCTCTCCCTGTCAAGCCCCCACGGGCTCGACATGAATGGGCAGGGGAGGGGTCGAGGACAACGTGCGGGGCGGCAAAGGACACCAGTGGCCGGCGCTGTTCTACCTGGCAGCGTGGGTGCCGGCTCCGTGGGCATCCCGACCAACAGCTGAGCAGCTCTGACTTCTGGCCGCCGAACAGCTGAGTTCTCTGGGAGGCAACGTGAGGCCCTGAGGGGTATCGCAAGCCCGTGGGTGGGGGTGAGAAGGAAAAGAAGGTGGAAGAGAGTAAGGCTGCAACAGAGAGAGCAGTGTCTCGGTTCCTAAGACCATCGGAAATATGTGTTTTCTGATGGTCTTAGGCGACCCCTGTGAAAGGGTCCTTTGACCCCCCAAAAGGGTTGCAACCCACAGGTTGAGAACCGCTGCTTAACAGCTCTATATTCCTTTTTTAAACATCTTTTTCCTTGCCATCAGATATATTTTGCAGACCTAAGGGGTAAAAGGTCTTTTGCATTTTCGTTGTTATAGCTAAGTCTTGCAGTTCTTTTATCTGTTCCATCTCTAAATCCATTTCCTGTTTCATCTTCTAATTTTTTGATTTTTTCATACTTTGTGTTCGTTATCTGGGAGCTTTCTAGTTTTAGATTTAATTTGAAGATTTGCTCATTTATAGTCTAAATTGTTTTTAGTCTCATTATGATTTCTTTTTATATCCTCTTTGCATTCAACAATTGTTTGGTGAATTAATTATCGCATAGAATATATTTCTTTCTGAAAGAGGTTTGCTTTTTCTTGGGGCTTTCCGGGGTTCGAACAGAGAGACCACCATCTCTCCATGATCAACAAGGCACCCTTCCTTCCTCATCGCCTCTTTGGGGTAACGTTAGGCCCTTTTCAGGGCTCCCTAGCAGGGCAAAATCAGGCGTGGAAGGCAGAGCCTTGCCTTCCTGCGTCCATCTTGCTGCGACGCAAAACCAGAAGTCTCTTATCAGAGAGCTCTTTATGCAGCCATGTTGGTTTCTTTTGAGAGCTGTTATTTTTCTTCATTGGTATTGTGCTAGACTGGGCTTTTATAATTTCATTTTTCAAAATTTCCCAAGCTTCTTGAGTTGTTTTCCCCTTGAGCATTCTGATCTATGGAATCCTTCCCAAGCTCTAAGTTTATTGAAATTAGTTCTCTTAAAGTCCAAGACTCTAGTTTGACTATGTTCTATTGCTTGTGCTTGCATAATGTTGAATTCCAATATTGCATGATCACTCCCCCCTAAGGTTCCTGTGGCTTCAACACCTTCTATCATTTCATCTCTGTTAGTGAGAATTAAGTCCAATATGGCTGACTCCTAGTTTCCTTCTCTACTTTTTGGTAGACAAAGTTGTCTGCTAGGTTTCTCAGGAATCTGTTTGATCTTCCACTTGGTGCAGAGTTTGTCTTCCAGTTGATGTCAGGGTAGTTAAAGTCCCCCATTACTATTGTGATGTGCTTCCTACATACCTTAGTTAACTGACTAGCAAAAAGTTCATTTATTTCCATAGGTGACCTATAGTATACACCTATGGTAATGTCATTCCCTCCCCCTTTATATTGACCCAAAAGCATTCAAGACAGTTTTCATCATTGTTGTGCTCTATTTTGATAGAGATGTAGTTATTATTTGGTCTGTTTCTTTTAAATAATTTAAATCCTTTTAGCAGTATGTTCCATTTGTCGGTTTCATCCCACCAGGTTTCTGTAATGGCAACAATATCATATCTGCCTTCATTTAATTGAATTTCTAATCCACCCTGTTTATTGCTCATACTCTGTGTGTTGGTATATAGACATTTGAGTCCTTTATGACTAACCCTGTGTTTACTTTTTACATAACCTGTGTGATGCCTAAGTTCCCGTACTTCTTCCTGTTTGATTAGTCTTGGTATGGCACTTACTATTAGAAGCTTGATTTTGCTTGACAGCAAGGTTGATATTCTTATCTGCACAAACATCTATGTTACAGGCACTGATAATCCTATTAGCTTTAGATTGCTGGGGACAGAAATGTTCTATTATCAATTAACTCCCTGTCCCCATTGTTTAGTTTAAATATATGGTTTGTTGCACAGTCAACCAAATGTTCAGATTGGTTTTGGCCTTTTTATCCACCTATCAAATCCTTCCCAAGGACATGACATAGGCAGATGTTCATGTCTGATGAACTTAGAGGTACCATCGCACAATGTAAGCTGTTCCGAGTGAAGCTCCCTTTGGCAATTGACTGATGGTGAATTTGTCAATGTCGGTGGTATTCAAGTGGTGCTTCTGTTGTTTTGGGATTGCAACCAAGGAGTCTATTACTATAGATACATATAGGAAGCATATTGTTATTTAAATGATTAGAAATACTTCAAGAAGGATTTAAAGAAATCGATAGACTATTTATAATTTATCACGAGAAGTAACTTTTACAATAGGCTATGCTCCACTTGCAATCTTACCTGGCTCAGTGCTACAGTACATACATGTATTAAAGTAACTGACATGATGACTTTTTGCGTGCTTTTCCAGGCACAGGAGTTTTTCTGTTAATTTGTCGCACAAGGTCATAAAAGATCTGAACCCACCAGGTTTCTGTAATGGCAACAATATCATATCTGCCTTCATTTAATTGAATTTCTAATCCACCCTGTTTATTGCTCATACTCTGTGTGTTGGTATATAGACATTTGAGTCCTTTATGACTAACCCTGTGTTTACTTTTTACATAACCTGTGTGATGCCTAAGTTCCCGTACTTCTTCCTGTTTGATTAGTCTTGGTATGGCACTTACTATTAGAAGCTTGATTTTGCTTGACAGCAAGGTTGATATTCTTATCTGCACAAACATCTATGTTACAGGCACTGATAATCCTATTAGCTTTAGATTGCTGGGGACAGAAATGTTCTATTATCAATTAACTCCCTGTCCCCATTGTTTAGTTTAAATATATGGTTTGTTGCACAGTCAACCAAATGTTCAGATTGGTTTTGGCCTTTTTATCCACCTATCAAATCCTTCCCAAGGACATGACATAGGCAGATGTTCATGTCTGATGAACTTAGAGGTACCATCGCACAATGTAAGCTGTTCCGAGTGAAGCTCCCTTTGGCAATTGACTGATGGTGAATTTGTCAATGTCGGTGGTATTCAAGTGGTGCTTCTGTTGTTTTGGGATTGCAACCAAGGAGTCTATTACTATAGATACATATAGGAAGCATATTGTTATTTAAATGATTAGAAATACTTCAAGAAGGATTTAAAGAAATCGATAGACTATTTATAATTTATCACGAGAAGTAACTTTTACAATAGGCTATGCTCCACTTGCAATCTTACCTGGCTCAGTGCTACAGTACATACATGTATTAAAGTAACTGACATGATGACTTTTTGCGTGCTTTTCCAGGCACAGGAGTTTTTCTGTTAATTTGTCGCACAAGGTCATAAAAGATCTGTAAATAAGAATGAATTTCATTTAATACAGAAGTTAAATCTGTTATAGATATCTTGTAAAGCATTAAGCTGAATTCTGATTAGCCTCAGTAGCAGTCCCATTTCACTTATGTAACATTTTAAATTTTTTGTTACAGTGAAACAGGGACATGTTCATGTCTACCTCATTTACTCCCCTTATTTACAATAAAAATATGCTGCAATGCACCATTTGTGCAATTATGAAATCCTAAGTGTTGCACAAGGGAATAAACCTACTATAAAATTATATAGCACTGTATTACAATTATGATACTTATTTGAGAAATTTATTTTCAAGAAATTTAGTCATCAATTGCCTGCCTTTTTCAATAAACTTCCTAACATACGGTTTCTAGAAGAGTATGTTTGAAAATTAACCTTTCCAAGATATCCTTTTTTGTTTAAAGAATTCCAATACCCAATGTGAATGTTCTCTGAGAAATATGGGGTAAAATAATACATGCAAGTGATAATTTTTAAATTAAATCTCCGAACTGAAACAGCATTTGCCAAGTGTGCTAACTACTAAGAAAAAAAATCTTTAAAAAAAATTCAGAAGCATGGTTATTACATTGTGTGTCTCTTGACTGTTGTTGAGGATTACTATTTTACTTATGAAGTGAAATCATAACTGCACTACAAAAATATTATCTATAATCCTTAAAAGAAAAATAGTAGCTACCGTATTTTCCGGCATATAGGACGACGGGGCATATAAGACGACCCCCAACTTTTGAGAAGATTTTCATGAAAGTCGTCTTATACACTGGAAAATACGGGTACTTTAACTTTCACCCCAATGGGACTAGCTGGCCCCTCTCGTTCCAGTGGAAGCCTGCCAGACCGCTTCCGGGACGACACCCCGCGGGTAGATCGCTCTGTCATCTGCGCAGTGAGAGCACCAACCACGGCAGCAGGTTGCCAAAGCAGCGACCGAGCACAGAGGAAACGCTGAGCGTCTGTCCGTCGGGGTCCCAGGGCTTCTGGCGCTCAGCGCGACGGTACCTGGTGTGGTCAACCCCAAGGAAGCTGCGCCCTCTGCGCAGCCCGCCGGCTCCCATCAGCTGCTCCTGCCGCCCACCCGAGCAAAGGCTGGTGGCGGGGGGGTTCCCCGGGGAGGAAAAGCCCCGCTCACACCGCCTCCCTCCACCGCCCTAGACTGGGAGGGGCAGGATCCCAGCCTGAGGGGCGGACGTTTCTGCGAAATCGCTGGCTTTCTGCGAGTGCTGAGCAGCACTTCGGCAGCAAGGGGGGGCGGAGGCACTTCTTCTCGGGAAGCCCTTGCCCCTGACCCAACACGGGCATTCTTACTCAGCTGGCTCTCCGCCAGCGCTCCTCTCCCGCCATTGGTCTGCCAACGCTCCAACCTCGCCCCTTCCTCCCGGCTGTTTCTCGGAGGGACACTTTTCTAGGGCTATTTGGCTGCGTGGGTCACTTAAACTCTCATCCGGACAGCCAATCCCCGTGCCAAGGGGTGAGGAGCATGGGGCGCAGGATACGGGGAACTTGCTTTGATGTACCCATATTTTCCGGCGTACAGTATAAGATGACTGGGCGTATAAGACGACCCCCAACTTTTAAGAAGATTTTTATGGTTTAGAAAGTCATCTTATACGCCGGAAAATACGGTATTTTAATATTAGCAAAGATGTTTCTAGAGTGAGAAAAATCAAAAAGTGAATTTTTCACAAGACTATTTCCTATGAACTCATATGACATCAGCTAGGCTTTCATAAATGCAATTTGCCTGAGAAAACCATCCCCATTTTTTGTTGCACATTCTTGGACTAAAACTACAGAATTCTCTGTAATTGCAGAAACTTATATAAATTATAATACAGCTCCTTCTCTAGTTTCTGTTGGACTTTTGCTTTTGTCTTCTGTAAAATCCAAGGCTAAAGTGCCCTTATTATTTCTCCCAGCTAAAACCTTTATAAAAGTTTAATTCATAATCAAAAATCCTAATTTTAAACTTCTAAAAAGGGCATGCACTAAAAGCACTGTATTAAATAATATCTACTTCATCATTCTGTTTGAACGCAATTCCCAGACTTCACTTAAATACTACTAAAATTAATGATTAACATAGCTCACTGAATTAATCATTTTGAAACAAAAATGTCTTACTTTTTAAATTGGAAAGGAATATACAGCCATTAACATTCACAAATACTGTTGATGATGAAGAGGTGGGCCTCGGACAAATAAAAGTATTATAAATATGTTATACTCTTTACCTCATTAACATTTATCTTTGATTTTGCAGAAGATTCTAAAAATGCACAATTATTCCACTGCCTTGCTAAATTTTGTCCTTGTTCCTTTCCCACAACACGTTCATCTTCCAAGTCACACTTATTGCCAACAAGAATCATAGGAACCTAAAATGACAAAATATTGTATATTCATTAAAATAATATATGATTTACTGAATGGCTATTAGAAATTGGATATTATAAGAAAAACCAATTAAATGCATTTTAAAAATAAATTATTTAAGAATTAAACAGTTAAGTTTACAGTAGATGTTAGGTTCTTGAACTGTCACAGTGATCTTCAGCAAGCACATTATAGTTAAAGTGAAAGTAGGAACTCATAACTATCAGAGTGGGCAACAGAAGAAACAATTCTTTTTCAGTATGCAGGAAACAAAAAAGTCTCATGAAATTGTTGTGGCTAAAAGGCAAGCATGTACAGATCAATATTTCATTTCTTTAGATAGCCAAGACTAGCTGAGGAAGAGGATAAAAAAAGAGAACAGTTCACTATTTAACTTACTACTTTTTCTCTACATCAAACTTGGATTCTACAAAGCCAAAATCATGGATCCTAAGTAAATATACCAAACATTACATAAAACTGAGATGAACTTCAAGTCTTAACTATGCATTTGAGAATTATGGGTTATGATTTTGTAACACCAGCTTCTAAACAGAAACTATAATTTCTGTTTTATGTTAAAATGCCTCAAGTCTCAACAGAATGTACAGAAAATTGAACTAAGAAGGATATGGGAGCTGCTTAGAACAAAGTGAAAAAGGCACAATAGAACATATGCAAGAGGAATGATAAACTAGCTATAAATGACAAAAAAATGTTATAAAGGAATGGTGCAAAAACTTAACATCAGAGAAAGATAATGTAGAGTACACACAGACAGAAAAATATAGTTCCAAAACATATAGCAGAGGGAGCAGAGCAAAAGATAATTAAGAGAAAATTATCAAAGAACCTAATCTACATATGTAAGAATTATACAGCAATTTCATAAATATTAAGGATATACAATAAATTGGAATATAATGCCAGCTTATAATAATATTCCTACGGACTTGTTAAAAAATTATGGTTTTTATTCTGTGCTGATTTATAATAATTGGAGATAATTATTTCTACAAAAATGGTTCCCTTGAATTGAAACTAATATGTTAAATTATATTATTCTTATGAAAATTGATAGTATAGCAAAATGAAGGAAGTACAGTAACTATCAAAATCTGTGGGGAAGAATAAATTTGGTAGTATATTTTGAGAGCTACGTCTACGCTGGTTACTATTGAACATTTTTAAAAGTTAAAACTTCATTAATTCATCTCTAAGAAACAATCACCTAGGATTTTTCTTTCAATGATAGTTTTCATAAGAAAATTGTGTTTTCAGTTTTCTTAATTTTAATGTATTTATTTAATGATTGGACATATTTGTTAACTACAACCCTACTTCATCAAATTACAAGCCAAAGATATTACAGAACTCTCCATTTTAGTTTTCAAGTTTTAGATTTTTTTCTGTTCTTATGGCAATTAATGTTTCCAGATAAACAGATGTATTTGTTCAATGAATAGTATTACAGAAAAATGCAATTTGCTACAATTATTCCATTTTTACGTATATTCTTGGCTATTTTAGTCATTTTAAGATTCATTTGAACTTTCTGATGCAATGTAATTTTAAAAACATTTGTAATTTCTTTCTGCAAAGAATGCTGTTACATGGAGAAGGTTTTAATAATACAGCATATAATTTTTGGTAACCTGCTGACACAAGAGTTGAAGACTACCCAAAGACTACAAGAGGCCCTTATGAACCCAAATGGCAGGTGGAGGCTGCTGCCAGACAGGAGATCTGCGGGGCGGGGTGAAGCAGGGATGGTGGGGATCGAAGAAAGCCCCTCCAATGGCCGATGTGGCTGTTGCGATGTGGCTTATATTAGGCGCACGCTAAAAATCATGCTAGGGCTTATTTTCTGGGTGGGTCTTATTTTTGGGGAAACACGGTACTTAATACATTCTTTACATCTTCATGCAAAAGGAAAAAAATGTTACTCACATCATCAGTGTCTTTGACTCGAAGAATTTGTTCTCGTAGATCCTGCAAATCATTAAATGTGGATTGTGCTGTGATGGAATAAACTAAAGCAAATCCTTGACCATTTTTCATGTAGAGGTCTCTCATTGCTGTAAACTGTTCCTGTAAATACAAAGAGAAATGGAGAATTCAAAACTGGCTTGTTTAGAAAGTCAAACTGACTTGTTATGAGTATGTTCTTTTTAACATCAATATTATTATATACACAAGCAACTATTCTTCAAACACAGGTCTATTTACAGCTAATCCTTGACTTATAATCATTCATTTAGTGACTGTTTCAAGCTACAACTATTGAAAAGAGTAACTTATGACCATTTTTCACACTTACAACTATTGCAGCATTCCATGGTCATGTGATTAAAAATTTGGATGCTTCACAATTGGTTCATATTTGTGACTACAGTGTCCCGGGGTCATGTGTCTCAACACTGCAATATAAAGCATAGCCATTCCAAGAAGCCCTAAGCTTGCAGCATGAAGGACAGTGATCCCAGGAGCATGGTGCATGGTGCAGTCACCTTAGGAAGTCCCAGCCCTGCAGGATGAAGCATAGTTGCCCCTGGAATGTGGTGCAAAGCATAGTTGCCCCGGGAGTGTAGCTTTCTGAGTGGGCTGTGCTCTACACTGCAGTGCTATGCTGGAGTTTCCTGGGATGGCTGGACTTTGTGCAGTTGCATTGGGCTGAGGCTTCCTGAGGCAGCTGCAGCTTCAGACAATAGGGATTGCTGTGATTGCTGTTGCTAAGTAATGCAGTTATGTGATATCATTCTTTATGAGTGTATCATTTAGCATTGGAAATTATGGTACCAATTCCTATTGTAAGGCTAACTATATACAAGATGCAACAAGCATATCAAATAATTGAAAGTATCTGAGTGGACAAGAGAGATGTTTCAACCCCATGCCAGAACTAATCCCTAACAAACCGGCGATCCCATCACTGAAACAATGGATGGAACAATTACAAAACACCTGTCCAATAGTTAGAAAAGCACTAGATGAAGCCAGTCATACATATAAAGCACAAGCCGATAAAAAAAGGGTTGAGCCTACACCATTCATTATAGGAGAAATGGTGTACTTATCTACAAAATACCTAAAATCCCTACAACCCTGTAAAAAACTTCGACCAAAATATATAGGGCCTTTTCCAATTAAGAGAATCATAAACCCAGTAACAGTAGAATTAGAATTACCCAAAAATCTTAGGCAAATACATCCAATTTTTCACTGCAGTTTGCTGAAAAGAGAACGTCACACTTATGGCTAAAAATCCCCCCCCCCATCCCCAATCATGGTGGAAGGAGAACAACACTTTGAGATAAAGGAAATCCTAGATTCTAGGAGATATCATGGGGCAACTCAATACCTAGTAGCATGGAAACACCTCCCCGCCTCACAAAACGAGTGGGTCCATAAACGTCATGTTAGTGCCCCAAAACTATTAAAGAAGTTTCATACAGAATATCCTAACAAGCCAGACTAACTTTTATACCTCTTTTGTTTTCTTTACAGGTAGATCGCTCTTATTTTTAAAGGGGGCAGGATGTCAGAATCCAATTATATTTCATTTATAGCTACCTACTCTGAGAGCTACTTACTCTCTGTGGATTCTGCCATACTACGAAAGGGGAGGAGGAAGCAAGGGGGTTTTATGACTCTCACTTCCTTCATTTAAACTACAAAGGATTGGATGTTGATTCTCATCAAGAGGACTGACCATAACAATATGGCTATTGCCTTTCATCTACTCTCTCTCTGAAGTCTCCCCTTTTCTGGAAGTGAGGGAAAAGGGGTGGAACAATGTAATGCCTGGGATCTGGAAAAAGAGAGGATGAGTGATCGTCGCCTGGAAGGACTGTGGGGTGGGGGGCTGCTTGGGAACATTAAAAACATTGAATGGTAGGGGTTGATCCCTCATATCCTATCTAGAACGCCTGCAATCATTTTTTCTTAATAAAGATTCCTGTTGGAAGAGATATTCCAAGAGTTCTATCTTCTTAAGATGTAAAGTGAGGTGGGTCCTTACAATCGTGCTGTTTTGTAGTATTACCTCCATGAATTGAAATAATTTCATTTCCTCTCAATCTTACCTGTCGGAGATTATTGCATATTTACATTCTCTGTATTTCTGCTCTCCTGTCTACAGAATTCCCACAAACTGGGGTGAAATCTTCCTAACTACCAGAACCTTGCCATAAATATTATGGCAAAAATTGAACCTACAATCATTTTTAAGATGCAGTTTTCATAACAAATGGATCATATATTATTAACTATAAAATAATGTACTATGTTGGGTCCCAGGAATATTTGTTCACTTTTGTCCTTTCCTATAAAACATCACTAATGAATAGAAACTGAGATATTACTCTTTGATAGATACACATCTTTTGATTATCTTAAGAAATTAATGTTCCCATCTTCCATCAAGTTCTTGTCTTTTTAAGGGTTTTCTTTCAAATTATTCAACTTTTAGTGCTTTTTCTTCAAAGATAATTATTTCTTAAGAATGTATTGTAAAATGATGAAATGATATTAAATGAACTCTACTTTCCCAACTAGGTAGAAATAATACTAAATTTAACATCATAGTTATAATGTACACAGATAACACTTATGTGTACCCAGCAATATAATAATACATTAAGCTGTTGAAAGCACCAAGGATTCCTCCAATCCTTTAGTTCTGGGAAACTTGACTGATGGAAAAGGGAAAAAGGATACTAGTCAAATGCTAACATTCTATGTAATATCTGAACCCTTTTTAAATGGGTACCAAATATCAAAATACTAATGCCAATGAAATGTTAAATGCCGATCCAATCACCTTTCTAAACTGAAATTTTAATTTGCCAAAGCTTACAATTTCTCATTTTCTCTTTCCTCTTGAAATTAGTCTTATTTTCCAGTAATGTTGTTTGTATGCTTCTAACTAAATAACAGGAATAAAAATAATTTATGTTTCCTTAAGTTACATACTATCTGAAATCAGAAATACTGGCAAAACCTTATTATGAAAGTCTCCCATTTTATTTCATAAAATTGTACAATAGCTTTATTTTACATACCGTTCCTGCTGTGTCTAGGATTTCAAGCATACATTGTTGAGAATCTACTTCAACTTGCTGTCAAAAGAACAAAGGCAAATATTTATTGAAGCATAAATAGTTTCTTGCCTTTATTAGTTTTACCCACAATTCATGGAGGTTTGCTCTTGACATACTCAAAGAAGTTGGCAGGCTATTAAAGTGTAAAGGTTTATATAATATGATAGCAAAATGATTGCTACTGTAATAAATCTTTTTTTTGTATTATATTTTTTATTAAATTTTTACACAAGCATAAGTCACTCAATAATTGGTAAACAGTGTGTTGTCTGGGTTACATTTGTAAAAACACTCCTTAACGATTGATTTCTATAGTCTGTATTCCATATATTAATTTTGGTTGATTTCCTCTTTCCCCGAAACATCCTTTTTTGCAAACATTGAGTTAATACAATTCTTATTGTTTTAATAAATGATAATTTAGCATATATTTTTTCCAATATTCCTAAAAAATAATCATCATATTAATATATTTTTTTCTTTTCAGTCATTTGTGCCTTATCATCGATCCTGTTACAATCCTTATTTTAGTTTATTTCTTCCACCAAATTCTAAATATTCTTACTGGTAAAGGGTTTCTCAGCGATTAGTTACATTTACATTGACAGACTTAATTCTATTTTTTCCATATAAGCCATCTCACATTTTTACGTTTCTTAAGTAATGGATATAAGAATAAAAAGAAAGGGGAAAAGAAGAATGAAAAAGAAATTAAAAAAATAAAAAAGAAGAGAAGAAAGCAGTAATAATGGAACATAAGAAATAACATAGTACTTAGAATATATATCCCTCCTAGATTAATAGTATTTATTTCCTCAAATTTCTTATTCTTTTTAATCATAGCTAAGAATATATTTAATCTTTAGACATTCTATTCAATAGATCTAGTCATCTAATCCCTTAACTCTAATTCAAAGCATATATATATATATATATATATATATGTATGTATGTACGTACGTATTATATACATATACATATATACATATATATATGTGTGTGTGTGTGTGTGTATGTATGTATGTGTATGTGTATGTGTATGTGTTTATATATATATATATATATATATATATATATATATATATATATATATATATATATATATATATATGTTAATAAATAGTCGATCACCAAGAGAATAAAAATATAAAAGATTTTATTTACTGAACCTAGCTTTCGTCTTGACCTCCTCAGGGTGTAAACGGTAGTCATTGGGAAAGCTTATATGCAACTGCTAATCATTTGCACTCGGCTCCTGGACCGTGTCACGGGTCCCAAATGAGCGCGCTGTAATCTGAGTGTGTGTCTTGCATCAGGATGTAGTTCTTTCTCACTCCTTCTCTGTGCTCCATTGCGCATATCTCCTTCGCTAATCTTAAGGTTGGCTGGAATACTTTCACTTCCCTTATGGGTGGTGGTTATTTCCCTCCCACCAGCCTCTTGTCCATGGTTCTGTTTGCTAGGGGGTATGTATATTATCTCCTGTTTCCTCCTAGTTCCTCCAATTGTCTTAATTGAGTTACAGTCCGATCCCCCCATCTTCTGTGATTGTAGTTCACATGTTCCATCCCATTTTATGCTATTCCCCCTCCCGTCCCTTTCTATCGATGTTGTCTCAATTTGTACTTCCTTGGGTCCATCGCCATTCCCTCCCCCTACGTTCTTGGGAGCAACTGTTTTGGAGTGTACATGTGACGGTCCGTCGTTGTTTAGTTTGTGATTGGTCGGTCTTCTGTTCGTTGCGTCTAGGTCTTCCGTCCTCATCTTTCACTGGGAGGTCACTCCATCGTGTCGTCGGGAATGCTCTGTTCGTGATTCTCTGTTCCCTTATCGGATCAGTTAGCGTAGGGCTGTTCTCTCTTTTATAACCTGGATCGATTGTCATCGCACAGCTGTTCATTCCATTCGTCGGGGGGTATAATCTAATCCCCTCGGTATGTGCGATCGCAGCTTAGGCGTTCTATCCTGTACCCTGTTCTCCATTCTCCCCTCCCTTTCTATGGTTGTTATCTCCGTTTGTGTGTTGTCAGATCCATCACTTCTCCCCCTGTGTTTCTGAGTAGAACTCCTTGTGGATACTTTAGTAACGATCCGTCTCACGATCCTTCGTTCTCTTACTGGATCAGTTGGGGGGTTTTGTTCTCTCTTTCCTGGTGTGGTCTAGTTGTCACAACACATCTGTTCATTCCATTCATCGGGAAATTTCTCCGCTGTCAATGGTCGGGCTTCCGATGGATCTCTGCCATTCGTGGGGAGCTATTTAAGGTCGTGCCGTCCTGATCCGATGTTAAAAGGGTGTCTGTTTGACCGTGCCATACAGGGCACCCCCCTGTAAAACATCCATTGTTTCTATAAATATCACTTTATCTAAGCAGCTGTGTTTACTAAGACTTTGAAGGCCACAGACAGAAGTTTTATAATTTTTATAGTCCTCATCCACCAGTAGGTGTTAGTGTTGGATCATTTTTCAGTTCTTTCTACTCTTTTTCCTCCTTAAAGAGTTAGATTCGCTGCTTCCAATAGCCAAAAAGGGGGGGGGAACCCTCCCTTTTTCACTCTCGGAGGTATTTTTGCTTCTTGGGAGTTCTTTTTTTCAGGAAAATAAGTAGGATAGAGAAAATTAGTTCTTACCCAGCTTCAAACACACTGTTTACAATCAGCTTAAGTAATGCTTCTTGACTTCCGTTTGCTTGCAGCTGGGGCTAGACAATGGAGTTAGCTAGCCTTTCTCCTGTTGGTTTCTGGGAGGCTTCTCCTGGACCAATCGGGGAGACCGCCATCTCTCCCTGGGACTACATTCCTTCATTGCCACCTCTCTGGAGTGACTTCTGGCCCATTTAGGGTCCCCAAGCAGGAAGAAACTCAGCTGAAGAGCTTGGCATCCCGAATCTCTCAGCTGATAGCACTGTTTACTGGAACAGTGTATTTACTGTAATAAATCTTGTTGCAGGTTGTCTTATTCTTCTCTTTTCTTTCACTTTATCCATCATTATGAATTTCTAACAGCAATCTCCGAGTTTTTCTTGAACTCCCATTTCTTTACATCCCTTTCTTTTGATCACTAGCTTTTGAACTCCACATGCCTCTTTATTACTCTATCATACTTACTTCTTTTAAGTGCTAGACCAGTGGTTCTCAACCTTTCTAATGCTGTGACCCCATAATACAGTTCCCCATGTTGTGGTGACCCCCAAGTGGGTGTGGCCACCAATAAGAGGGAGTAGGACAGCTAGGGAAAAGGGAAAAAATGGCGGACAGCATGGTTTGGCGACCCCCGTGAAATGGTCATTTGACCCCAAATGGGGTCCCGACCCACAGGTTGAGAACCACTGTGCTAGACTATTTTTCTTAATATTAAGTACTAAATAAATTTATAATTTTTTAAAAAACGCACATACCTTTCTGTAGGAATCTTCTATCGTTGGATCATATTTTTCAACAAATATTCCTTGAACGAACTGTACAGTCTACAATAAAAGGCAGTGTGTACATAAATACACAAAGTTTATTTGAATTTATTTTTAACAATAACTCAAAGACTGGAAAGTTCATAAAAATTCAGGACAAATAAAGCCATAAGTTACTATCAATGTTTTAAGCAGTTGACTTAGAACATTGGCTCACTAGTTTAAATTCATACTGAATTAAGAGCAATCCTTCAAAGGACTTGTCAGCTAAAATCATCTTTATTATAATCATATTTCTATTTAAAATTAAGGCAATGCCAAAGTTCACATATATATAAATTATACTTACCTACAAATTATAAAATTAACATATTCAAAAAGATAGTGAAACTGAAGCCATATTTATTTATTCAAGCATTGTAAAAGAGGAAAGTAAGAAAACCTAAGCAAATGTTAATATTAAAGTAGGCACTTCCGGTGGCTGCGTTGGTGTTAATAGCAGCTGTTTTACAGCTGCCTCTCCCGGGAGATCGTAAAAGCCGGTTAAACAGCGACGACCAGCTGTTTTATGGCTTGAAACCTTCTTCCCGGGTGAAGGGACGAAGGTGAGCTTTCTCCTGGATAGGAGTTGAACCTCGCCAACCTCCCAGGGATTTTTTCTCGGGAGGTGAAGTGTGAGAGATCCTCCAAAGTCCAGGTGTTGTTCCGTTTCCTGGGATGCCTTTGTTCTCTGAGAACGAAGCCAGACGCCGCCTCCACTGCTGCTCTCCTAATGAAAACTGTAAGTGACTTTTAAAGCAGACAGAGCTCTCAGGAGAACAATGACTGGATTTTACTTTTAACTTAACTCGGGGAGAACTAACATCTTCTCCTGTTATTATCTGAACAAATTGCTGGAGCAAGAAATATGGCGGAGGAATATTGTTTCTTTGTTACTCTTCTTGTTTGAACACTTTCATTTTCTACTTTTTATTGATCGAGCTTTATCAACGTAATGGACTTGATTTGTTTAAGAGAAATATTTTTTTTAAGGAGTAAACTTCTTTACAGCTGAAATTCTCCCCAACAATGACAATTGCAGTTTTTTCCAGTCTTTTAAATCCTTTTGTACTTTTCCCCATAATGGTTCATAATTATTCTTATACAATTTTCCATTTGAAGCGGTTAAATATACTCCCAAATATTTAACCTTTTTTACCATCTGAAAACCTGTGGCTTTGACCAAACTTTCCCTATCCTTAACTAACATATTCTTAGATAATATCTTAGTCTTATAATTATTAACTTTAAAACCAGAGACATTCCCATACTGTGTTATAAGTTCTAATAAACAATCAATCGCTTGATTCGGTTGTTCCAAAATTAAAACCAAATCATCCGCAAAAGCCCGCAATTTATACTCATTCTTCCTTATCTTTACGCCCTTGACTACCTTTGATTCTCGAATCTGAATCAATAAAATTTCCAACATTAAAACAAATAACAAGGGGATAATGGGCATCCTTGTCTTGTCCCTTTTTCAATATTAAAATTCTCAGTCAATCCCCCATTTACAACAATGTGTACAGATTGTTGCTGATATATAGCTTTAAGTGCATGTAGAAAATTATCCCCAAAATTCATTTTCTCTACCAATGAAAATAAAAATTTCCAATCTAATTGATCAAAGGCTTTTTCAGCGTCCAAAAAAAATAAAAGCCACAGGAATCTGATTATTGTTATCCAAATACTCAATTAAATTTATAATTTGTCTAACATTATATTTCATAAATCGCCTTGTTATAAATCCTTCTTGGTCATTATGAATCAAGTCCTTCATAACCTGCATTAATCTGTTTGCCAAATTTTTTGTAAAAATCTTATAATCAACATTTAATAATGACATTGGCCTATAATTCTTAGGCTCTGTAAGATCCTGATCTTCCTTTGGAATCAGTGATGTAAAAGCTCTTTTCCAAGAAGGAGGAATTTGTGTACCCAACAAAATACTTTTAAAAAGTTCCTTTAATGGCTCCATCATTTCTTCAGATATAGTCTTATAATACCTGGAGGTCAGTCCATCTGTTCCCGGAGACTTTCCAACCTTTAACTGCTTAATAGCTAAACCAATTTCCTCCACAGTGATTGATCTATTCATCCCATTTTATTGTTCCTCTGAAAGTTTAGGAAAATACACTGATTGTAGATATTTATCTATATCCACACCCTTTATGTTATCACTTGAATATAATTTTGTATAAAAGTCTAAAAAACTCTTTTTAATCAAATTTTGCTGAAAAACCTCAATACCTTTATATTTTACTTTCTCTATAATTCTAGCTTACTGTTTCTTTCGTAACTGGTAAGCCAACCACCTCCCAGGCTTATTCGCATTACAGAAAGTATTATGTCTCATATATGACAGATTGGTAGCCACCTGATCTGCCATCAACATATTGAATTGTTCCTTAAGCATCTTTATAGATACCTTTAAATTATTATCAGTTGGATTAAAAACAAACTCTTGTTCTTTTAATTTAATCTCTTCTTCTATTTCTCTACGTCTTTTTAACCCTTTTTCCCTAAAAACCTTATTCAATTGAATCAAAATTCCCCTCATATATGCCTTACTGGCATCCCAAACCATGGACATCGATGTTCCCTTATTCATGTTTATAGCAAAAAAGTCCTTTAAATGCTCTTTACATTTTTGTACAAACTCTTCCCGAGTAAACAAATTCTCATTCAATCTCCAGGGTCTTCTATTCCCATCTTCCAAATGTAATTCCATCCACACCGGACTGTGATCTGACAAAGTTCTGGGAAAAATTTTCACCTTCCTCACTCTAGAAAGAAGATCACTAGTAATCAAGAAAAAGTCAATTCTTGAAAATGATTGATGTCTATCCGAATAAAAAATGAAATCTCTATCACTTGTATTCCTTTCTCGCCAAATATCAATAAGCTCCAATTCTTCTTTCAAATCAAAAAAAGTTTTAGGTAACCTAGTTTGGGTAAAAGTTTTAGAAGAGCTCCTTTTATCTATAGTTGAATCTAGAACCCCATTCCAGTCACCCATCAAGATTACAGATTTATAATCCAACTGGGATATCTTCCCATGCAAAAACTTATAAAATTGTTTCTGTTGCTGATTAGGAGCATATAATCCAACAATAAGAACTTTTTTACCTTGTAATGATAATTCCACAAAAAGATATCTTCCTTCAGAGTCAGTCTCAATTAATTTAGATGGAAAATTTTTCTTCACGTAAATTACCACTCCCCCTTTTTTCCCTGGAGCTGGAGCAATGAAATATGAACCCAAACGAGGATTCATCAAAAGTTTGGAGTCCTTTAAAGTTATATGAGTCTCTTGCAGACATATCAAATCACTGTTGTGTTGTTTCAAATAATGGAAAACCTTTCTTCGTTTCTGTGGCACATTTAAGCCATTAACATTCCAGGTCAGGAGCCTGGCCATCTCCACCGGCCTGGAGCCTCTGGAGCATGGCCTGCAGATCCACTGTTGAAGATCTTTTGGGTCTTGCCCCTCCCACAGGCTCTGTAATAACCATGCCTTCAACTTTATCTCCACTCTTCTGCTGCTGCTCTTTTTCTTTACGTTTATGGGCAGCTCGTGTCATCCTTTGTTCTTTTATCTCAAAATTCTGTACAGCTTGTTCCATAACCATCATTGATGAGGCTCCTGCCATAACAGGCTCTTCCATTATCCTTGTTTGTGGGGGTGAAGACGATCTTGCCTTTAAAATAGAATGATAAAAATCTCTTGCCTTCAGAACTGTAGTTAATCTATGACGTATCCCCTCATAATTCACTATTATTCCTCTTGGAATCTCCCATCTAAACTGGATTTGACGATGCTTTAACTCATCAGACAGAAAAGCAAAGTCTTTTCTGCCTCTTAAAATTTTGGGAGGCATTTCTTTTAAAATTATCACATCTTGATCTGCAATTTGAAACTTTTGTTTGTAAAAAGCCTGTATAATTTCATTACGAGTAAATCTTCTAGAAAAGTAGATGACCACGTCTCTTGGTAAGTTTCGCTGTCTAGCAAACCGTGAGTTGACTCTAAAAATTTTTTCTATCTCATTCCCAATTATTTCAGGCCTCCAGCCCAGATTAAGAGCGATATCTTTCACAATAAGCATCTTTAAGTCCTCCTGAGGATTCTCTCTCAGCCCCCTGATACGCAATGCATACTCCATCTCTCTATATTGTGACATGATTTGTTCATCCTGTGTGATTTCTATCTTATTCTCCACCTCCTCCATCCTGGATTCCATTCTTGTTGCATTTTCATTAATCTCCTCGATCCTGTCGTCAATTCTTTCTATGTGCAGAGCAAGGCCCTGAAAGGCAAAAAGTATGTCTTCCCTTATTTGCTTATTTTTAGCCTCCAATAGTTCTTCTGTAACTGCAATTATAAGATCTTTTACTTGCTCCTTAATATCCAAAGCATGCTTTTTTAAAGCTTCTTGTAAATCTTTAAGAGAAATTGCAGGAGGAGAGGGTGGAGGTGATTTTGGTTTCTGGGAGACAGGCTGGGTCATTGGGGAAGAGATAGTAGCTTTAGGAGGAGGAGGCAAACGTTTTGAAGCCATTTTCATTAAGTTCTAAGAAGAAAGATTCTTGTTTAAAAAAATTAAAAAAGGAAAAGAAAAAATCACAGTTCTTTTAAATATTCCTTAAAAAAGAAAAAAGATTATAGAGAAAAAAAGAAAAAACAAGAAATAAAAAGACAAATTCTTGCTTCTATATTTGAAGCATTACTCTGTATCCGGATTTTAACTTTGTAATGCAGATCAAACAAGAAAGACAATCGCCATTTTGCCTTTCACGGTCCCTTTCTTCAAAAGGGAAAGTAAACAAAAAAAGAGGGGGAAGATGCTTGCAGGAGTTAAAGTCACAATAAATCTTAAATCCACTTTCTCCTGGTCTGCTCCGTCTGCATTTGAATACTCACAAGCCTCTAAAAAAAGCAGATGTGGGAGCAGCGGCTTGCTTCATCCCAGAACTTCGGGACAAAGACGTCCTGGAGTGCGGAGTTGGCTCAGGCTCCG